AGTATTTCATAATAGGATGAATGCCTGAACTACCAATCTTTCTCTCTTTCTTTTTAAGAGGATTTCACAGGACCAGGATCCCATAAACTCTTTATTCAACTCATTCCAATGCCTGGCCCAGCCGGATAGACTACTAACTTTTAAAAATTATCTGCAGAAGCCTGGATACAAATTAGTGTTATTATTAAAGGAGGCTCAAATTGAAAACTTAAAATAACACAAAGGAAAAACTTTTTCTTGTTTTTAAATATTTTAATGGAAACATACCTGGTCACTAGGCTTAACAGTGTTTAAACATTGTGCCAGTATATTTGAGAAACTAAATTAAATAAATAAATAAACAAAAGAAGTCTCTATCTTTCAAGAATAAACATAATACAATAAAAAAAACTTTATTCTATAATGATTTCAATTTATTGACCAAGCCACATGGTAAAGAAAAAAATCATTCCAAATCGTTTTTCACCTCCACGGAAGTGTTTGCAGTTGATGGGCTCGCCCAGAAAGCATGGAAATCGAAGTAACTCTCAACTGGCCCTCTATTTTTTTTTTTCTATTTTAAATGCATCTGCTGACCTGTTGTGGGTAAACATCCATAAATTCGGCCCCAGCTGAGAAATATTTAACTTTTCCTTCCACGGGGAGTGTATGGGTGTGCGCTCGAAGGGCAGGGGTAACCCTTAGGCCTTTGACCAGTGTTGACGGTTTTCTAAATTTTGTAAACGCTTCTTTCTATCCACGAGGCTTTTTTTTTTGGTCTTTTATGCTGCCTTTTCTCCATCTGTTCTGCACCTAAAGCCGGGTCCCCAAATCCTGCCTCATCCCTTCGCCCTGGTCTAACCCCACATGTTCCTCCGCACGGGAAGGCCGCGAATTCACGACGTGAACCCGGAGGCCAGCTCTACCTAGGGGCCAGTCCGAGAGGATATAATTGCAACGGGACGGCGCGATGACTAAAGGAAAAATGATTGAAGTTTCCGGTAAGAGTCGGGGGGGGGTGGAGGAAGGATATTGAGAGGAAGAGGATGTGTTGTTGTAGTAAATCGAGAAAAAGGAAGATCTCAATTCATTGTAGATTTTGAGGTGTTTAAAAGTATTAGATAAGTTCCGAGGGA